TTTCCTCTAGCTGTTTTGCACTGGGCTAGGGTGCTGTATAAACATTACCTGCTGAGATTTCCATAAACACTTAGGCAAGCACCACCCTTAGCAAGTAGAAAATGCACGTCTTCAGTGCAAACATTTATATTCTCAATGATATAATCACTAGTATGTGTTTGCTCCATAATAATATTTAAAGGTCTGTGGCAGGCTGCTGACCCTAATGAAAGTTTTTATGAGTGTGCCTCAGGGACAGCCTGCCTGGACATGCTCAGGGGCAGAATCAGCTCCCTCACACAACCTGACACCAGACGCTGGAGTATTGGGGTGGCCTCTGATTTGCAGGTGTGAGAAGGCACAGCCACCACCTGTGCTTGGAGCTGTGCTTGGAGCTGTGCTTGGAGCTGTGCTTGCAGGCTTGCTGGAGAGCAAGACGGCCCAGAGCAGCTGGGAAGCAGCCTGGGAAATAAAATGCAGACCTGCTCTTGCAGGTGCCCTACAGAGCTAAGGCCCCTAAGCATGAAAACCACAACTCCCCTTCTGAGATTTATGCCTAGACTTCACACTTCTCACTACAAACTCTTTTTAAGTTGAGTAAATGTGCTCTCTGCCCTGAAGTTAAGCACATATATTCAGTGTGCAGGAACAGTGTGTTCTAAGTACAAGTCAGCTCTGAAAGAAGAAATTTTTCCTCAGAACGGCATCTGTGACATAGTTGTGTTGCAGGGCTGGGAGGGATCTTTAGATTCCCAGAGCAGATAAAACAGCTGGTGAAAGCCTAATGCAAAGAAAATACACTCTGTGCTTTTTTTTCTTAGCACAGTCTCTATCACCACACAGTTTACTTAGTGTTGTGGGTTTCAAAACTGAAAAATAAAATCTAGAAGTCAGTATGTTACTATTCCCAGCACAGAGTTAATTATCTGTATGGCAAAATATGTTGTAAGACAGCTTTCTGGCAGGTAAAATGACTGTGTATCCACAGTCTGGACTCAAGTAAACGTCATGTAAAGAAAGAAATATTTGTGATAAGAGGAGTACAGAACACATACAGCTAAATCCTGCCTTTTCCAGCATTAGGGCTGTAACAAGCATCTGTTAATAAAATCCCATGCACTGTCATTACTTCGATTGTTGTTTGAATTGCTATTGATTTTATGTTTATGAATTTTAGGTGCCCAAGCTGCAAAACAAAACAAGCTTCATGCTCAGTAAACCCATGTACAGACAAAGATTCTCTATGGATTTGCCAAATAATGGCCATTTTGAAAATATATTAATCTCATCTATTCTCTCTCTGTTGCAACAATATTGGAAGATCCAAGTACCTCAGTCATGAAAACCATCTTTTCTTTGTGAAATATGGATTCCTACACAGAGGTGTTTGCCTTGATTGATCATGTGCCTATGGCACATGTTACTACCAAAGTACAAATCAAGTATTTCTGGTTTGGGTTAGTACAAATCAATTTTTGGTTGTAAGCTGTTGAAGGGTAAAGTATGTTATAAATTATTTACTTGAATACTTTTGTAGCTCAAAACCTAAACTTTGCTAATTCTGAAAAGCCATTAGGAAATTTCCAATAATTTCTTGATTTAATGCTAACTAAAAATATCTCATCCTCAGATTATTAGCACAGTAGGATGTCAAGGGTGAGAATACTTGTCCTGGACATCCGACATAAATCCCCGTTTCTTGTGCGAGACCTGGGTTTCACAAAAAGTACAATTCCTTTTTTGCTCTCTTCAGAATAAGTTCCCTTATCTTAGTTAATTTCTAGGTGGTTTAAATACAGTAAGTTTTTGTTTGGACTGAAACCTGCTGATAACCACTGAAAAATTTCACTCATCTTTTATATGTTAATGTGTTTTACTTACCTAAAAACAAGTCTGAATGACTTTGATATTTGAAAATTCTAGTATTTAGGAAGGGGGAAGGGAAGCTCTATTTCAAAACCAGAAAAACAGTTCAGGAAATTCCAGTCAGCTCCACTCATTGGACCTGTGAGTCTACTTTAATTAGCACTTCCAGCTGGCCAGATTGTTGCTACGAAAGTAATTCTAGAGAGCTCGATCAGTAATGTTAAAAATGTTGGCACCTCAGGATTTGAGAACAAAACCAGCTTAAATGGAAGACTCTTGTTAATTAGATAATGAGACATTCAGGAATAATCCCTTTACTGAGAAACCCGATAATACCTTTATCCACTATTCTGTTTTTACTAAAACATTTACATTCACCAAATTGCATTTTTTTCCCTAATCAGAGTTTACTTCCTTACAGCAGTTGACACACAAGAGGTTACAATCTTGACTGGTGTTTAAAAGCCTTGCCTATTCTTCCCTTGAAAGGTTAATTTAAAATAAAGAAATTGGGCCACCTTATTCTCTCTTGGTAGTTCTGTAATAAAAGGTTGATTGTTCAAGCAGCAGCATTCAATTATTCTGTTTCTGATGCTATCTACATGTAAAAAAATCTAGCTAGGCTTAGCTGGTCCCTGAAGGCTTTCCAGCTCTAGCCCTCAGTGCAAGGATGCAAAACAAAAAAATTAGAGCCTCATAATTAACATGCAAAATGTCAAGTATTATGTTGTCAAGTTAAAGAATGAAATTTGCTTCCAGGAATATCAGATACAGAAAAGCTTCTGGAGTGTATACCCATTTTTTAGGGAAACTCATTCTTTGAACGTGTTTGCTGGAGAAAAATAAGCTAACTAGGGAAATCAGAGTGGGAGCCAGTGTTCAGAGAAATTGCCCACAAGTGTAGCCCTCCAATTCTTGTTGAATTAATAATGATACTAGACCTCTACAATAGACATTGAAAGTGTACAGTATATTAATATAGCTGAAGCAGAAAACAATTGGTTCCCTGTCTGTATTTTTATTTTACTTTTTTTTCTGCCCTACAGGAGCTGGGATGCTCAAACAACAGATGTGCAGACCAAAAACAATGAAATTTATTGCTCTGATTCTGTTGGCTGAAAGAAAACCAACACTGACCCTCATGAGTTTAGGGTATAAATAAAGAGTTTTAAAATTATGCATGAACACTGAAACCAGTGAATAACACCCTGGAAACACGATGAGAATATACATCCAGCATAAAATAAATCAGCCCTCAAAGGGAAAGTGATGTGAATGGCTCAAACAACTTTGAAATTAGTGTTAATTTTGATAGTGGCATGAACTTTAGCCCCACATTTCCTCACTTTTACTGATCTTCTAGGTGGAAAACTGAAAAGACAGGAATGTCTCGGAATGGAAAATTGATGCTGTTACAATGGATCTTCACAAATAGCAAAAGGGGCATGGCAAAGTAGCTCTGGCATTGGAAGGAACCTTGGCAGTGCTGAACAATCAGATAAAGCACTTTTACTTTCAAGCCAGTTGAAGCAGGCCTCCAGACAGACTAGTGCATAGGTGTGTTCTGTTCCTTTACAATATCAACTCTAATATAAAAGGAAGAGATAAAATAGGAACACAAAAAAACCCCATAATACTGTTAATGTCACAAAAGAAAAAAATTATGGTTTTGCAAAAAGTATAAAATTCCTTGTTTCATTATTAAGGAGTTGTGTTCAGTGGTTTGAGTGTGTAGTTTATTAATGGTCTTTTTCTTTCTTTTCCTAAAAAAAAAAAAAAAGCTATCTGTATATCTTGTTGCATCAAGTGACAGGCATTGTGTTCTGATGACCTGAAGTTCATATTTGCAAAGCTCTGTCACATTTCTTCTGCCATCTTAAATAAAAAAGTCACCAGTGTCTAAAACACTTGCATTGAAAGGCTTCACCAAATTGCATATTTTGACCTAGCAAGAGTTCTTTTCCTAGTAAGAGTATAGAGAGCATGAAGGCTCCACAGAGGCTGAGCCAAGATACACATTCCAAGAAGCCCATGGAGCCTCTACTGTGAGACACTGACACGGTGAGCGAGGCAAAATAATGCACAAGAACAGTTCCTTTGGGTAATTCATGTTTCCTGTATTTCTGGGAGAAACTCTCCCATATTCCTCCTCCTGCCTCCCCAACTGCTTCAATCCCTTGCTGAAAGGTAATACCACAAAATCCAGCCTTTGTTATCCAGTAGGAGAGCAGCAGTAAACAATTCAAGGACAATAGCCACCAGACATGTGGAAAACACTTCATTTTTACTGAATGGCCACAAATCCTTTGCTAATTAGAGTTCCTGAACGTTGAAAATAACTATAACCTGCTTGCTTATTGTTGAAACTCCATAGTTTTTGTGGAATGGAAAATATCTTTAGAAGCTCTTAAAAGATCCAAAAATGTTTGGACTTGTTTTTTTTTAAAGATGATACTTCGGACTGGAATACTGAAAAATACAGGTTAAGGAACAGCTCAACACTGCCAGGTAGTATAGGTCAATAACGACTTAATACTTTACATTTCCCAGTGACTTTTATGACCTTTAAAAGTGTTTTGCGTTGTTCAGTCTCTTGGTTATTTGGCAGACCCCAGCAAAGCCCCCATTTCCAGCTCTGGGAGGGCTGTGTTAGCTCCTAGACTCTTGTTCGCCGCCCGCGGCACTTGGCGGCGGTTCCTCTCCCAGGCGATGGCAGCTGGTGGGGACAGCCCCGTGCAGCACCAGCGCGGCTCTGCCAGCCCTTGCTGCCCGTGGAGCCAGGGGTGACAGCCCGAGGGACGACGACGGCCGGCCACGAGGCTCCAAACCGAGCTCGCCCCCGGGCTGTGGCACAACAGTGGCTCAGCTCGGCCGCACTGGAAGCAGACGGGATCCCCAGTGTGTAACAGCCCGCGAGGTCAGGAGGTGGTTTCGAGAGGGGACCCGCTGTGACCCTCGTTCCCTGGCGCTGGGGCTGCCTCGCACGGCAGCGCGGGTCCCGCCGCGGGGGCAGCGGCGGGAGGGCTGGGCGGCCCCGCTCCGGACCCGCCTCCCCGCCCGGGGCCGGCGCCGAGCGCCCTCCTCCTCCCGCGGCCCGGGCGGGGGCTGCCCGCGGCGCCGGGGCCACACAAAGCGGCGAGCGGCGGTGCCTCCGCGCCGCCCGTCCGGCGACAGCCGCGCCGGCCATGGAGCCGCCCGCGCCGCCCCAGGAGCCGCCGCCGCGCCCGCGCTCGCACACCGTCACCACCACCTGCAGCTCCTTCACCGCCGACCTGTCGGCCAGCTCCAGCACCCTCGCCTACGACAAGGAGTTCCTGCGCACCGTGCCCGGGCTCCTCATGGTGACCGAGATTGTGAGTGGCGCGGAGGGGCGGGGGAGCCTCGGCCGAGCGCTCGGCCGGCACTGGGGTGAGGAGGGATCGGGGTGAGGGACTGGGGTGAGGGATCGGGGTGAGGGACTGGGGTGAGGGATCGGGGTGAGGGACTGGGATGTCCCTCAGCGCATCACCCGCTGCGGCTGCCCAGGGTCCGTGCCCGCAGGCGGAGCGCGGGGGAAGGACGAGCCGAGCAGCAAGAGCGGCTCTACGGCGGGGGCACGCGTCCCGCCTGGGAGCTGGAGCAGCAGCGCAGGGCACACGCGGTGTGTTCAGCCTCCCGTGGTATCTGCCCTATCATCACGTCCCGTAGCGGAAAGACGAGTTTTGGCAGACAGGGAACTGAGTTCTGGAGACTTTTCTGTAGCCGCATTGGTGGTGTACGTTTTGCACTTTATAGCACACAAATAGTCATGATGTGAGAGTTAATTAAACAATTTATCTTTGTTTCCTAGGTCAATAAAAGAAATTTCCTTACGTTCTAAGTGCTTCTCACAGGTACACCTGTGCAGAGTGGGAAACGAATTGACGCCTTTTGGGTTTGGTAGTGAATTTGTTTTTTGCAGGTAGTCCACAAGCTGTAAATGAACACACGGAGGGTCAGGCACTGCTAAATTTGGTCACTTGCCTTAGTGGTAGGCGGTGAACAGCACGACGCTGGGATCCCTCTGAAGGCCCGTGTGCCCACAGTGTGTTGAGCAACAGATACTCAGCATCTCCTCTTAAAAATGTGTTTCATTCCACTCATCTGCACTATTAATAATTAAGGGTCTTAAAAAGCTGGCTGCCCCAACTAACTTTTTGAGTTTCTTGTGTGAAGTTTTTGTTGTGTGGAAGCTTCAAGGATTAACTTATCAGACTACATTTAGTTTTCAAGGCTTGAAAACATTGTGCTTCACCAGAGCAGTGGAATGGCTTTTGGTTTTGCTGACTTCAAAGTTAAAATAACCAGGCGAAGCTCCAGGCTGACGTGTGATGTGGGATCTCTGTCAGGAGCAGTGCCATGGGAGAGAGGATGCACACTGAGATGCCAGATTGCTGTTTAGGCCAATAGTGATGAGGCTGTGAGGTCAGAGCCTGCTCCCAGCTGGTACCCTCTGTGCCAGTGTCCTTGGGAATTCTGTCGATCTCTAGTAGATAGGTGATTGTAGGCTTGTTTTGGCTGTTAAATACAGGAGATGCTTCACTGTCAAAGCTGTGGTAGTTCTGTGAATAAACAAGTTTTTGAAATAATAGCTGCTTTCTTTTCCACTCTTTTCCAGTTAGTAATTACAACAGAGTTATGTACCTTTCTTGTACTTTATCCGAAGAGTGATCCCACTGTAGATTGTTACAGAGGTGCCCAAGGCTTTTCCTGAGCCCTGCTGGAATGTCATATATTCATCCTGGCTGTGAATACTGGATCAGCTGCACTCACATTGAACTACATGGCCACAGGGCATGGACAGGCTCTTGCTTACTCTTTGTTGGAAGTGTGCCTTCTAGTTTGTGTTGACAGGTGGTGTTGTGCAGCTTACCTTTCTAAACGGTGATGGTGCTTTTTAGGGGGATTTTGTTTCCTCTCAGCTGCTCCTAACTTCTGGAATAATTGTAAAATGTGAAGATGAGCAATTCCTGGCTAAATCAAAGGAACTAATAATAGTCTCTAATGTAGATTAACTTTTACTGGTTTGCAGTGGTATATTTGAGAGAACAGAGAACAGTTCTGATATTAAACTGAAAGGTGTAGGGCAGTCTTACAGAAGTAGAGTACTGACAGATAGTGCCTTTAAGGAAATACTTCTAATTCTTAACTCCACTTACTTTAAAGCAGCTAGAGTAGCTGTTCTTCTGTAAAATTAAAGATAAATATATTAGCGAAGACCTTTATATGGAATTAGCTGAAAGAACCCCAGTTATTAAAATCAAATAATGAGTTTATATATGTGTGTATATATATATATATATATGTATGTATTTGGCAGTGGGTTTTGGTTAAACATTTTCCACCAGTTTGGTATTTTTTTTTTTTTTTTTTTTAATTTTTTTTTTTTTCCTGCAAGAAAATGTGCTTTAACAGAGCATAACTTCAAAACTTGCTGTGCAGATTCAGCAGTATTAGAGTTGTGTACTCTAAATCAGCCTGTTCTGATGTTGTGCCTTGCCTGCACTGATTGACCCTTCAGGATATTTCTGACCCTCAGTACTGATGCCCCAGCTTATAGCACAAGCCTTCTCCTAAGGATTTACAAACCTGTAAATAAATTAGCATGTAATTCAGTCTCAAGAGTTTGCAGCCTGGTAGATCTTTTCCAGTCTAAGCTCTGAGCTCTAAAGAACAGCTGTTGTGGTAGGAGCATCCCTTTGTTTCTGGTGCCCCTTCTCTGGGACACCTGTGACATGGATAGGGAAGAGGACTGCTTTTAGTAATATCTGCTATCAGTGCAGCTACTCATCTGCCAGATCCCATGTCCATGTTAAAGCTGAGCAGGGGGCATTAAACAATGGTGCTGGATGCTCTGAGAGTTTGCACTGTGGGGCTGCATAAATATTTGATTATTGTTGCTGTCAGTCAGCAATGTATATGCAGCAAGAGGGGTGCAATCTCCTGGCTCTGAAACTGGAGCTCTCTTCTCTGTGTAGGCAAAGGCCAAATCTGTGTTATTCTTTGACCAAAGAGAATTGAAAAGCAGAAAGTTACCACATAAATGAAATATTCCAGCTGAAGGATCTTGATCAGGTTTTGCTCCCACATCCCTAATTTGCATACTGTGAAGATGAATTAACTGCTGTGTGGATTTCCATGTGTGCTGGTAACCACCCTACATCTGCACTGAGACTGTGTTTAATTGCACAGTAAATTCAGCTTAACTGTTCCTACTAAGAGATTCTTTGTAGTCGTGCAAAGCACTGGTCTGCTATTAACTCAGTCTGCTGTTTCAAATGTGTTCAAAATGAGTTAGCTTTATAAAGACAGGTTTTATGATGGATCATGTATTATCCATCCTTTATGTAGCTGTTTTAACACCTGTGTAAATGTGGGATGAGGCTGACTGTGCCTATTCAGCAGTAATAGAGTTATGTACAGCTTAATTCTGCAATGCCTTTTGGTCTAACACTGCACACATCTAGCATGAATGAGCTCAGAAATGCAGCCTGAAGTGTAGGCTAAATTACCTGGTGCTGACAGATTTCCATTGCCTTCGACGTCTGCCTCCATGACCAGAGCAGGTGCAAGGTTTCCTGCCACTCACTTGGAAAGAAATGGGGTCAGTTCATTTCACTGGTAAGAGCAAAATGTAAAATGCCACTGAGTTTCTGAGAGGCCTTTGAAAACTGGCATAAAACATAACTTTGGTGTATGGAAGGCTGACCAAAGCACTTATATACAGAAGTGGTGCTGCTTGCTGGACAGGGCAGGGGCTTCTGACTCTGGAAACTTGCATTTACTGGCCTTAGTTGGCCATTAACTCTGCAAATTAATTTATCTGCATGTCTCTAACTTCTCAGAATTCTCATCCATTCATGGAATATGTGTACTGATTTTAGTAAGGAGCACTGAGATTAATTTGTGAAAAGTAGTATAGAAGATGTAAGTGGTGTTACACAAAGTCTTTAAATGAGAAAATGAGATGTCAATTGCCTGGGTCGACACTGAAGTAAAAGTACATCATATAAAATAATTGATACTGATTCCTACAGTGTAGCACCAGCAGTCCCCCTGGAGGATTTACAGTTTCAAAATGAGCAAGTATAGCAATTTCTAGAGATATCTTTTGAGTGTTTCTTTTCTGTAAAATGATGGCCCAGAAAAGCTACGTTTATCTTCCTGGGACTTTTATGGCCAAGAAAAATTATGGCTAGTGATACCTTCTCAGAGCTTTAAATCAGCTTCTCAAGTCAAGCATTATGGATCACTTTGGGGAGGTGAAGAGTTTTGTGGTTGCTATGGATGTGGTTATAAAAATATTTACTTTCTAGCAGGATGACATTGATCTCTTCAGATTGTTGCTTCACACCAGTGTATTGCTAGATGGAGCCTCTTGTAAAACTTGCACTACTGATTTCAAGGCTTGTGATGGCTATTTGACCTTGACAAAAACAAATATATATAGCATGGAAAGGTTTAGAAGGTTGTTACTCTGCTGCTGCTGCACATGAGATCTTGTGATGGTGTAAGTTTTAGTTAATTGTACTTTCAGTTACATTTCTTTATGCTGTTCTATGCACATTATTCTTCGAAATGGCCAGAATAAAATAGATACTTGAAATAGAAACCTGATAGGAAGTAATTTACAGCATTAGCACCATGTAAAATTGCAGTTCAAATTTATGTTTTTGGACAATAAAAATAATTTTGATTACTCGTTCATTATTCTTCTTCAAATGTTAGACCTTTGAAGGTTTAATTCATAAAAGAAATATTGTTGACTTTGTTTATTCTAGTAGAATGATGACCCTCAAAATATTAAAAAAATATTGAAAGTTATGTCAGATCTAAGATATTGAGGTTGCCAAAACCAGAACTGGAAATGTGCAAGTATTTGTTCAATATACACTTTTCGCCTTTTTATTTTTGCTCAGAAACTCAACTACAAATATTCAAGTGTTGAATTAACTCAGCAATAAAGTCATATAAATTTTAAGAAAAACAGAAATAATAGAGAGGGGATGATTATGCATATATACACCATCCTCCTCATTCCCTTCAATTTTTTGGAAAAGCTCAGACAAATACATCAGAAGTATGGAGGGAGTTCCAAAGAGCCTCTTTGCTCACCTGAATGGCAGCAAGACTTTCTCTTCTTTCAGGAACAGTAGAGATTTTTTATTTTTTCTTATAATGTGATTTTTACTCCAGTCATAGGATGTGTGCTTGCAAGTAGTTGACAACACTGAGCTACCTCCTGACATGTTGAACACGTGCTTTGCCTAGAGAAGATGTACACAAGCATGATCTGAATATTACTCACTTTGAATTACTGAATGGAAAAAAATCA